AAGTACTTGCCATCTTTTTTCCTATATACGCTTCACGTGAAGCCTATGCGGTAGATACTCTTATTAACCCCATTGTACAGATAAGGAAACAGAGTAAGTGCAAGGGCAAACTGTGTCCAAGGTGACAGCGTTTGAATCCAGGTAGTCTCCAGAGCCACACTCTTAACTCTTATGCTTTACTGCCACGTTGGAAAATGGTGTTGGAAAGGCTTGTGTCATCTCTACTTGCCCTTTAGAGAGGATGCTTATTTTGCATTTGGCATTTGGAGCCAGATAGAACATTAACCAATTAGAGGTAAAAAATGAACATTGGGAGTCTTAAGAGTTTTTGGGTTTTTTTATGCCTCTTTTGGTGTTAAAAGGGGTAGGATATGGGTTATCACTGTATGTGGTTTGGGGTTTTATAGTGAAAGCTGCTTCATGCTTCTATTCTACCAGAAATATTAGCTAGACATTGAATTAGCTAATCAAATGATGATTGGATGACAAAGTGTTGAGTGACAGCCCAAGTGAAGTAAATTTGTCTTTACCAAGAGTTTAGTGCAAAGGATGTGAGAAGGAAAACTCACTCGTGAATGGCAATAGCGTGTACTCATCTGGGAGGCAGACTGGGTGGGTGGAGAGTCCTTATAAGAGATGGTTTTGGATCCTTAGCGATAGGATGGACAAGAGTAGCCACTCATTCATTTAACTATAAGGAGTCATACTGGGAATTCTGCCACCAGGCCATGCAAGCCTGATAATTAAAGGATAATTGAATGATCCTTCAGTGTGTCTACACCAGTGCTGCTTCCAAGGCTTGGGGCGGTGGGGTCCCAGGGAGGGCGTGGTAGGCTGAGAGGAGAAACTGAGGAAGCCTGAATCGGTGAAGCATTGAATGCTCCTGACGGTTTGCCTGGCTCACATACTTCTTATGTGAGACGTCCCGGGTTCATTCTGATGGTAAGTGCTCCTTAACATTTATTTTAACTTGCAAGAAGTTGCACCATAATCTTGACCACCTTGAACATGTTTCTCTCATGAATGAATTTTAGAAAAGGCCAGCAACTATAATTGAAGTCATATAGGCATTTGGAAACTTTACTACCTGAGGCACATGATAGTCAATTAAGTTTCCAGAAAGCCAGAGAACCAAAATAAGAGCGATTTTTTTTTTCTTTTTTAAAAAATATATTTTATTGGTCTTTTACAGAGAGGAGGGGAGAGAGATAGAGAGTTAGAAACATTGATGAGAGAGAAACATCGATCAGCTGCCTCCTGCATACCCTGAAGTGGGGATGTGTCCACAACCAAGGTACATGCCCTTGACCGGAATCGAACCTGGGACCTTTCAGTCCACAGGCTGACGCTCTATCCACTGAGCCAAACAGGTTAGGGCAATAGTGATATTTTTAATGCTATGAAAATACCCCAAATGTATAGTAGACCAGATCTTTCCCTTCCCAAAGATGAAATTATAGAAAAGGAAAGATAAGCAGATTTCACTGCAGTATTCTGGCTTTGCTTTGGCCATTTATTTGGGCATTATATTTTTTAAAAATAGAGTGCCAGATTGCTATTGAGGTCTTGGCTCGCTGCCAGAAAGTCTCAATTCCAATCACGGCAGAAAATAACTCCCTTAGGCAGCGGTGGCACATGAGACTGGATGTGCCGCAGTTCGCGCCAACTTGGAAAAACATACCACTGCCCTAATGTTCAACGCATGGTGCCTTTGTGTTCAACAATCCTTGCATTAAAAGGGATTAAATTAATACGTTCTACAGATGTATTTTTGTGTCAGCTTGTTCCTGACGCTGATTATAGATGCCTGAATCCCGCCTGCTTTTCAGTGCCTTTCATGCTCATAATATAAGATTTTAATTTTGACTTTAGGAATACCTGTCATGTAAAATTAATGGCCTCTCTAATGTTCTGCTTTATACACTGGACAATAGAACCAGGGTACAGCTCTATTTTCTGTATCCATAGCAGGGTGCAGTTTTATGCCTCCAGTGGATTGAGATATATGATTCTTTGAGGCAGTATTTTGTCAAAGAGAGAGATTTCTTTTCTGGCTCTAATGAAAACATCCATGAAAAACATTGGAATCACTATTCTGGTGAAACAGGTATTTGTAAATAAAGTGACCAAAGGCCTAATGTAGATATGGTGAGGTGACTGAACACCATTTTTCTAGCATAGGAACAACCGTGAGGTCATTTCGTGAACATGAACCGGCTAGACAGGTTGAAAGGCCACCTACCATTCTTTGGTTGTGTGTATGGTATAGTAAGAATAATGAGTAATTTTACCAGGTAACTTTTTCAATAGGAGATGTACCTAGAACTCATGCCTTTTGAGAAACTCAAGAGTTTTCTGTTCGGGTAGTAACTGATCACCATGTGAAGGAGCACAAGCACCATTTTGTTATATACAGTAAGTCCTCACTTAGCATCAGCAGTAGGTTCTTGGCTTTAAGCGAAATTACATATGATGAAACCACTTTTTCCATAGGCTAGTTGATATCAATAAGAGTTGGGTTCCTACAACAGCTCACCAATGTTCTAACAAAACGACGGTGAACAAAATGTTATTCAAGGACCTGCTGGAATCTAGAAATGCATTCACTTGTCTTTGTTATCTTTATAACTGCAATCCACATCTCATAGCAGACAATCTAAAATAGGCCTGTTTTGATTATTATCAATAAGCCAGTGGGAAAAAATGAATTCTTCCCTGTTTTATGTTTGTAACATATTTTCTAGCTACAAGGTGGACTATATGTGGGTAATGAGAAATAGTTGGAATTCTATTCAGGTATCAAATTGAAAGGGTCTTGAGTTTTGTTTTTACTGGCTTCGCTAATTGCTGTTAAGATGGCAAGTAATTAAGGATGTACAGTTAGCCCATCCATTTCCAATTATGCATGAATAATTGCGATTTCCCAGGGTTTCAGGGCAGTTAAAAATAGATACAAGGGAAGCCCTCTAACCTAATGGCATCAGTTATATATCTGTGCTCTAAGCTCAAAAGAACAGCAAAGGACCCCCTGTCTTCCTGTGGTTATTGATGGTTTAGAAAATCCAATGACTATTTCAGTTCCACTGAAGGCTGCCAAACACTTGGCCCACTCTCTAAGTAGTACATATGTTTTGTTAAAAGTTTTTATGTTTGCAATCTCAACCAAAATCCATAGTGTTTTTTTAAAAATATACTAGTAATTAGCTCTCACAGAAACTCTTTGCACTGATAAGTTCAAAGAGATTTATAAACTTGGTCACCTTTTAATGGCTGAATGGCATTACAGTTTTAATAAGTCTTAGTTTGATCTGGTGCCATCACTGTGTAAGTGCGTGCCTATGACTACTCTCCAGGTCCTCTCTCTCTCTTATATATATATATATATATATAAAAAAGGTAGTCCTAGTCTATCTTTAATTTTTATAGAGATTTTAACAATTACTGTGGCAATCTGTAAAGTTGATACATGGCAAGGTAGTAATAGCCTAGTAAAGCATTTTTCATTTCAAAGTCAGTACTTGAATAGTGGAATGACTTACTGATGTCCAAGAATTAAAATAAGCCATATAAAAATATGAAAAGTCAAGCCATGCAGTATGTCTCAAATCATTTTACTTTAGATCGGAATTTTGCCACAAAGTATCCAGGGATATTGTGCTGCCTCTGTGTTCTGTGCTGGGGGATTAATGCTAGGTCATGTCACATTATTATTAAAAGGTGATTCTTATAGTTAACCCTCATTTAGGAGATCAAAACTCAACTCACAGGACACCCAAATCCATGCTAAACATGTGGGCCATATTATAATTAGGCTCTAGTCTAGAGTAATTTGGAATGAAAAGTGATTTTTATTTTGAAGTTTTCTAATTCAAACATTAATAGTGTACAGAAAGGTCTCATCAAGAGTTTCTTTTTCAACCCAAGTAAAAGCAGAAAGCATATAGCCACCTCCACCATAGCCTTAGATCCCAAGAAACTAGAAACACCAATCAGAAAGGATATATGCACCCCTATGTTCATAGAGGCACAGTTTACCATAGCTAAGATTTGGAAACAGCCTAAGTGCCCATCAGCAGATGATTGGATTAGAAAACTGTGGTACATCTACACAATGGAATACTATGCTGCAGTAAAAAAGAAGGAATTCTTACCATTTGACACATATAAGCTAACCAATAGACACAGACACCAGGAGGGTGAGGGCATGGGGGGGGGCGGCAATGGGGGGATAAGGACACATATGTAATACCTTAATCAATAAAGAGAAAACAGTGAGCCAACAGTTTGAAACAGCATTGAAATGAAGATTTCATGTCATGGTGATGGTAGTAATGATAAAGGTGATGGCCATAGAGTGGCAATGGTGGCGGTGGTGTTGATAGTTATTGTGATGATTGTTTAATAGTAAAAAAAAAAAAAAATCTAGTACAAGGAAAGGGTGAAATATTCCTGTGATGAGGGAAATCTTGTGCTTACCCATGGAATCCTTTTTTAAATATATACTTTTATTGATTTCAGGGAGGAAGGGAGAGAGATAGAAACATCAATGATGAGAGAGAATCATTGGTGGGCTGCCTCCTGCACACCCCCCTACTAGGGATCAAGCCTGCAACCCAGGCATGTGCCCTTGACTGGAATCAAACCTGGGACCCTCCAGTCTGCAGGCCAACACTCTATCTTCTAAGCCAAACCGGCTAGGGCTCCCATGGAATCCTTTTGTTCTATATTGAGAAGATGAGTGCGGTCTTGGACATTTTTCTACTCAAATGGCAACAGTAGCCTGATCCAGTATTAAGCTAATACTAACAATGTGAAATGTCTTCATTAACAAGGCTTTGCTTCTTCCTGGAAACTGGTGGAAATCCAACCCTGTTGTATATACCTCGATGCAGCTTCTGTGTTGTCCTCACCAAGAAATGGGGAATGGTTTCCCAGATGGCAAAGAGCCGGGGGGTGATGCTTGCACCTTTGTGAAGTCTCTCTCTCTCTTTGTTTTCCAGGACACAATGTAGGAAGCCTTTTCCACTTGGCAGATGATTTGGGCCGAGCGATGGAGTCCTTAGTTTCAGTCATGACAGATGAAGAAGGGGCAGAATAAATGTTTTACAACTCCTGATTCCCGCATGGTTTTTATAATATTCATACAACAAAGAGGATTAGACAGTAAGAGTTTACAAGAAAAAAAATCTATATTTTTGTGAAGGGTAGTGGTACTATACTGTAGATTTCAGTAGTTTCTAAGTCTGTTATTGTTTTGTTAACAATGGCAGGTTTTACACGTCTATGCAATTGTACAAAAAAAAGTTATAAGAAAACTACATGTAAAATCTTGATAGTTCAATAACTTGCCATTTCTTTATATGGAACGCATTTTGGGTTGTTTAAAAATTTATAACAGTTATACAGAAAGATTGTAAACTAAAGTGTGCTTTATTTAAAAAAAAAAGTTGTTTATAAAAACCCCTAAAAACAAACACACGGGCGCGCACACACACACACACACACACACACACACACACACAAACTTTGAGGCAGTGCATTGTTTTGCTTCCTTTTAGTGTGATATCCATATGAAATTCATGGCTTTTTTTTTCTTCTTGCATATTGAGATAAGATGACTTCTGACACTACCAAATGACTGCTTCACATTGCTCTCTTGAGAGTTGTTGACTGAGTGGAACGGGCTGTGGGTTTCCGTTGTCCACATCTATATGTCTATAAGTATGCAGATACTATAGGTATATAGATAAATAGATAGGAATTTCTAGTGACCTTTTAAATTTCTTGTTCAAATGTTCCTGCCACTTGCTAATGGCGAGAAATTGCTTCTGGTCATTCGGCTTACCTGCTCGGTGGAGAGTGGCTTTCCTGGAGCCTGCAGGCAGAAGGAAACGAACACATTAAAACATTGTCGGGGGCTCCAGATGTTTCTCATTTGGAACTTTCCACTGACAACTAGAGTATTGCATTTTCTTTTTTTGATAAAGGAACATGTGAATGAGTACACAGGACTTACTATGTCAGAATAATGCATTGGTTGATGTATACAGCTTCCTGCTGTTGGCAATGCCACTATTTAGACTTCATGGTGCTTCAGTGGAAGTCAGAGCATCAGAAGGCGTTTTAAATTCCCAGAGACGAGGAGGACTCTGGGTTCTCAGCTGATCCCTCTGAGGGAGTAGGCAGGCCACTCTTGAAGTAAAGGATTGGATGAATCTTCATAACCATACATAGAGATTTGTGTAATTACAACTAAATGATTCTCTTCTGGCAAACAGCAGTGGGTGTTTTGGTTCTTTCCTTTTTTTTAAGCTTTTTTTTTTCTCATTGCAGTGAGTTTTAAATGCCATAGGACTTAATTTAAGATAACCCTTGGAAAAATGTAAGACAGTAGCCCCATCACACTGTGACACTGTTAAATATCCACCCAGAAGTTCGTAAACTGTGCTTCTCTCCTTTGCATTTCTCTAAAGTAAGTGGGGACGCGGATAGATTCAGATGTTCCACAAGGTACTGCAATCCCCTTTGGGTGGATTAAGCAAGTTAAATATATAAACAAGCAAACATTGTTGAAAAAGAGGAGAAAAACTCAAGAGGACTAGCTGGTAGGAAAAAGCTTTACTCTTTCATTTCATCTTATTAGTCTTTAAAAAAATCATTCAATAGAAAGCACCATGTGACCTATTATTTTGCAAATCTGTTACCTCTTACATCAAATGTAATTAACTTTTGGAGTGTGGGTTTTGTCCCTTATTTTATTATGATAATTAACATCAAACATGGCTTCTCATGCTATTTCTACCTCACTTTGGTTTTGGGGTGTTCCTAATAATTGTGCACACCTGATTTCACAGCTTCACCACTTGTCCATTGTGTGAACATTTTCCACCATTTTCTTTCTTCCTTTATAATTTCCAAAAGAAAACCCAAAGCTCTAAGGTAACAAATTACATTAATATTTGGTTTTAGTCTTGCATTTTTCCTTTACATGACGCTGGACTTTTTCTTTAAGGATTTATTTTAACCACGATTTAAAACAAGAGGTTACTTTACTTCCTACTAAGAAGTTTAAGTTTCATTCTAAAATCAAAGATAGAGTGAGTGCATAATTTTGTTTTAATCTTTTTGTTTTATCTTTTAGACATTAGTTCTGGAGTGAGTCTGGCAAAATATATGAATAAAAATTGAGAGCTTTATTGCTATGTTTTAAGCATAATTTGGACATTATTTCGTGTTCTGTATAACCACTGAGTGTTAAACTAAATCATAATCAATGTAACTGAAGCATAAACATCACATGGCATGTTATGTCATTGTTTTCAGGTACTGGGTTCTTACTTGAGTATCATAATACATTGTGTTTTAACATCAACACTGTAACATTTACTAATTATTTTTTTAAACTTCAGTTTTACTGCATTTTCACAACATATCAGACTTCACCAAATATATGCCTTACTATTGTATTATATTACTGCTTTACTGTGTATCTCAATAAAGCACGCAGTTATGTTACAAAAAAGTGTTGATTGGACTGCTATATTTTGTTTTTATTTTAATTTAGTTATTTTTTTCACATTTTTATTGATTTCAGAGAGAGAAACATCAATGATGAGAGAATAATTGATGAGCTGTTTCATCAATTCCCCTACTGGGGATCAAGGCCACAACCTGGACACGTACCCTGACCAGGAACCAAACTGTGACCTCCTGGTTCATAGATTAATGCTCAACCACTGAGCTACACCAGCCAGGCTAATTTAGTTATTTAATTTTTATTTTGTTAAATATATTTTATTGATTTTTTTACAGAGAGGAAGGGAGAGGGATAGAGAGTTAGAAACATCGATGAGAGAGAAACATCGATCAGCTGCCTCCTGCACACCCCCCACTGGGGATGTGCGCGCAACCAAGGTACATGCCCTTGACCGGAATCGAACCTGGGTCCCTTGAGTCCGTAGGCCGATGCTCCATCCACTGAGCCAAACCGGTCAGGGCTAGTTATTTAATTTTTAAATAGGTCATCCATGCATACAGTTGAAAAATGCAAAATCTAGAAGGCAAACAGTGAAAAGACCCTGCCAGCCTATTCCCAAATCATCCTCACTTCCCTATGAGTAAATATTATTAAATTTCTTATGTATCCTCCCAAAGTATCTTTATTACAAACATGTATTCCTCCTTTTTTTCCTTTGATTACACAGATTGTAGCATTCTCTTTATATACCTTGCTTTTTTAAACTTAAGAATGGATTTAAGAGATCCATTCTTAATTATATTAAAATGAATCTTTCCAATCCTATCTAATAAAAGAGAAACATGGTAATTAGCCATACGTCCGCTACCCTTCCCATTGGCTAATCAGGGCGATATGCAAATTAACTGCCAGCCAAGATGGCGGCCAGCAGCCAGGCAGCTTGAAGTTAACATGAGGCTTGCTTGCTTCAGTGAAGGAGGACTCCAACGTTTCCCACCTGCACTGCCGGCCTCTGAGCTTGCAGTTTGAAACATTGTAACAAATATAGAAGCTAAACAAAACCCCAGAAACCTGCTTTCAGCCAGCCAGGATCTCAGAGCTGGAGTTGAAAAAGTGTTTCGATTATAGAACCCAAACAAACCAGATACCTGCTTTCAGCAG